GGAGGCAGGAGACTCGCTTGAGCCCAGGAGTTGGAGGTTGCTGTGAGCGTGATGCCATGGCACTCTACCCAGGGGGATAGCTTGAGGCTCCATCTAAAAAAAAAAAAAAAAAGAACCAAGATTTATGGTAATAGATGTAATCGAAAGGTTAAGAGGAAAAGGAGGAGGTTCTTGGTTTTCTTAGAAAAGTCTCTGTGGGATGTAAAATCATATTACAGAGAGTATAGGCAGAGGATACAGAGCACTCTAGAACATTTTAACAATAGAGGTCTCTTCTCCACTTATAGAGAGGGACCCATGTCACTCTTGAGATGTATTCTCCTTATACTTTGTGTGCTTTTGTTCTATAATAAATGTCTGTTAATGGTGGAAAAAACAAAAACAAATAGGGCTGGAAGTTGAAAAGAAAAAAAGGATCATATAAACATATTAATAAACCTAGAGGATAGCAGATAATATAAACTTCTTACAAAACATTTTTAAACTTTTATGGTATACCTCAAAATGTTGTTCACATTTATTATTAATGGAAATACTATATAATGAAGGCTGCTTTCTATAAAATATTAGCAAAATAAATAAATTACATTACAGTGGAATAGTGAAATACTGCAAAATTCAAATAAAGGAAGGAGAAGGAAGTAAGGAAGATAAAAAGAAGTCAAGATAAGGAAAAAGGAAAAAAGAATAAGTGCAATTTGAGAAGGGAACTAAGTCTAAAGGCTTATAACTGGTAGAAACATAACAAGTGGCAAAGGAGGTGAGAAGCAAAAAGGAAATGGTATCCGATAGTGTTAGATATTTGATTTTGGACAGTTTGAAAGAAAATGAGATTATAAAACTTCCCTTGAGCAATCCAGTAATTATAAAGCTTTAATGTTAGTATCTTCTATGATGTACTACTTGTAGTATTGTGTTTCTCTGAAAATAAGACCTACCCCAAAAGTAAACCCTAGCAGGATTTCTATGCATTTGTTAAATATAAGCCCTACTCCAATAATAAGACCTAGTGATGGGCATGGCTATGCAGCATATCTGCATAGCCACGACATGCGTTTCAGCACAGAGAGGAAGACATCCCCTGAAAATAAGCCCTAGTGTGTCTTCTTGAGAAAAAATAAATATAAGACAGTGTCTTATTTTCAGAGAAACATAGTATCTAACATTAAGTTAGCTCTAAACAAGCTATCTGTTGAACTTTTTTCTTTTTTTTTTATAGAGACAGAATCTCACTTTATTGCCCTCAGTAGAGTGCTGTGGCATCACACAGCTCACAGCAACCTCCAACTCCTGGGCTTAGGTGATTCCCTTGCCTCAGCCTCCCGAGTAGCTGGGACTACAGGTGCCTGCCACAACGCCCAGCTATTTTTTTGTTACAGTTTGGCCAGGGCCGAGTTTGAACCCACAACCCTCGGTATATGGGGCCAGCGCCCTACCCACTAAGCCACAGGCACCACTCGATTTTTTTTTTTTTTTTTGGGCCGGGGCTTCAGGTTTTCCTCTTGGTTGGGTGCTGTGGTATCACAGCTCACAGCAACCTCCAACTCCTGGGCTCAAGCGAGTCTCCTGCCTCAGCCTCCCAAGTAGCTGAGACAACAGGCACCCGCCACAATGCCCAGCTATTTTTGGTTGCAGCCATCATTGTTGTTTTGGCGGCCCGGGCTGGATTTGAACTTGCCACCTTAGGTGTATGTGGCCACTTGAGCCACAGGCACTGAGCCAACCATTTAGATTTAGAACTGTGAAGATGTATTGGAAAGTTATTTGGTAATTCTTGGCTCAGCGCCTGTAGCACAGTGGTTATGGCAACAGCCACATACATCAAGGATGGCAGGTTCGAACCCAGCCCATGCCAGCTAAACAACTGCAACAAAAAAATAGCCAGGCGTTGTGGTGGCTGCCTGTAGTCCCAGCTACTTGGGAGGCTGAGGCAAGAGAATCACTTCAGCCCAAGGGTTTGAGGTTGCTGTGAATTATAATGCCACAGCATTCTACTGAGGGCAACATAGTGAGACTCTGTCTCAGAAAAGAAAAAAGAAAGTTATTTGGTAATTCTCAATGTCGTTATATTCCCAAAAGATTGTGCACCAATTTCATTTATCAAGTTTCCTTGTTATAATTTGGATCTATTTTTTTTAAGGAGTAAAATTGTGAATTTTAAATTATCCTACTGAACCAGTATATAAAGGAAAAAAACTAATAAATAACACTTAGGATATATGTATGTGTGTTGTGTATATGTCTGAAAGAGAGAGAGATCAGATATACTAGTTTTATCTCTCAAATTCCATGTTGATGATAATGATCAAAACTTTTAAAGTATCTACTTCAATGTCTACACTATATGAAAATACCACTTGTATTTATAGATAGGGCAGTATTCCAGTAAACTTGGGCTTTGCTACATAGATAATAGAATTAATCTTCATAAATCTTTCTTAATATTGGTGGAGGGCAAGTATTTATAGATTATTTTGAATATTCAAATAGAAACATAAAATTTAAATGGCATATTTTGTAATGTACGTCCCATCTGGGTCATTATGACTTCATATCATCTCCATGTGAATAGTTATAAGGAAGACAGACATTGCCATTTTGCTAACAGGAAGATTAAAACAGAATAGTTAAATGACTTTTCCAACGTAAAGATGAAGCCAAGATTGGAATCTAAGTGCCTTCTCCTGCTCCATCCTGATGTCCTGGTTAAATCCTCCTCATTTATCCTGTCATTTTAATAGTGGTGGGGGAGGCCAGGTGCAGTGGCTCATAACTATAATCCCAGAACCTGGGAAGCCAAGGCAGATGGATTGCCTGAGCTCACAGGTTCAAGACCAGCCTGAGCAAGAGCAAGCATCCATCTCAAAAAATAGCCTGGTGTTGTGGCGGGTGCCTATAGTGCCAGCTACTTGGGAGGCTGAGGCAAGAGAATCACTTGAGCCCAAGAGTTTAAGGTTGCTGTGAGTTATGATGCCATGGCACTCTACCGAGGGCAACAAAATAAGACTCTATCTCAAAAAAAAAAATAAAAAAGTGGTGGGGGAGAGGTAAAGAGATAGTAAGAGTCTCTCTCTAGTTCTCCTGTGTTCCTTGCCAAGATTTCCACTAGATCATTGGTTTTCTAAGTGTTGGGCCCAGGGGTCTTCTGTGTGGTTTAATATGTTTATTCATAAATTTAATTTTATAACATTTTGTAAAATAAGCTGGTTGTACTTATTAGCAATGAGTAAGGTTGTTAAATAGTACTTGGATAATTAATAATATTTAAAAATCTATACTCTCAATACTGCTTGTTATATAAAAGGAGTTTTTTAAAAGTCAATATGTTGATTTTTCTGACAATATGGTCATTATCATATTTGTTTGATTTGTAAACAATAGAATTTTATACAAATACTAGTTTTGCACCTTCAAAACTGTCACTCCAGTGAAGACACTGAAATATTTTAACAATGTACGAATACAGTCACAACATAATCTGATTAAAAGATTCCAACAAAGTTTGGAGTTATCTACAACATAATTTATAGATGCCTACAATAGTTAGCTTTAGTTTAGGGTTACATATGTTGTTTAGCTTTAGTTTAGGGTTACATATGTTGTTTTAAAAAATACCATTAATACAAATGCATCATTTACAATATCCCCTTTATAGCTAGAAAAAAAAATTCATAAAATAAAATGCCTTTTACACATTTATTATGCCAAGATTATTCTCATTACAACCTAAGAATAATGCTCTTTCAGTGATAAAAGATAGATTATATTAGCCCAAGGACTCCTAAAGAGCTTCTAAGAAGTTCCAAAATAAAATCTGGTTATGCTTTCTGTAAAATAAATAGAACAGCAGCAATCTCTGGATATTCCTTAAACATAAATTATGAAGACTCTATTTATGTTAATTGGGCCTTACAAAAATGACTTGCTACAAATAAAAATAAACAAAATTTTAGAAACAAGTTAACACCACTGGCCTGAGTTTGATTTTACTTACATATATATGTATAAGAAATTTCACCATCAAGTACATATTAAAAATTAACAATTACATTGTTGTGGGTACCTGTAGTTCCAGCTACTCAGGAGGCTGAGGCAAGAGCATCGCCTAAGCCCAGGTGTTGAAGGTTGCTCTGAGCTGTGACGCTACAGCACTCTACCAAGGATGATGAAGTGAGACTCTGTCTCAAAAAAATAAATAAATAAGTAAATAATAATAATTAACAATTATTTTGAACAAATATAAGCCAAAGTATTTACTCTCACCATGAAAGCAAAACTTCTGAAAATAATCTATACAAGTATATATAAGTACGTATAGAGCTTTGAGATAGACTAAGAACATCTTCCTGCATTCTATGGATCAAAATGTGAAAATCTCCATAACATATATGAATGAACACAAACATATTATTGGGGACATGTTGATACTACATGACTGTGTTGAGATAGATATAGATATAGATAGATAGATAGATACCATGAAACAGTTTGACAATGTTTGTAGTGACAACATACTTTTCAGCCCCAACTACTAGGAAGAAAATAAAAACTTACTGTGAAAATTCCTTTTCTTTTTTAAAAATAAAATTGTTAAGTGGAAAAATAAGCCCAAACACCTTGTTAGCAGCATGGTCTGAGCTCTTAAAATGTTCAGAGTCAAATATTTGTCTTTAGTTTCCCAGTGTAACAAAACACATAAGCTTTCTCTCTCTCTTCAGAAAATCTGATCATCTGCAGGATATTGTTTTTAAAAACTGTTTACCCAAATACAAAGTAACTGTGCTGGTGTAATTCTTTCTTCTGCCCACTTAACGCTGATGTAACCATATAAGTTGGCACCTTGGAGCACCACACCCATGATAACCACTGCCAACCATTTTACTCTGAAGAATAGGACATGAAAGGCAAATACCACCCATAGCACTCACTAGGCAGGCATAAATCCTAACCAAAAGATTCCTGATTCAGCCTCTGAAATAGTTTTACTCTCTTAAGAGGATGCCTTCTTGGGCTCAAACAACCCGAGGCTCTTTTCATTTTCCTCAGTATGATTCTACCAACATAGGCCAACCATTAGTCTACTTGTGACATTCTTCACTATCCAAAAGTCACATGATAACAAGATAATTATCACCATCTAAGCAATAAAACTGCTGCAGAGCAATTCACAGAGAAAATAGACTGTAATTGTAAGAAAGGAGTGGTTTATGAGGAAAAAGTGGAAGAATGATTCCACTGGGTATCTGATTTGGGATTTGTTTTTTCTTTTTTTGTGTGTGTGTATTGTCTCCTCTTCAGCATCTAACAGTGAAACATCTTCTGGGTAATAATTACTGTTCTGTAATAAAAAGACATTGTATTAAATGTCATAAAAGGTTTTTATGATGGGGCTGACACACGGCTGCTGCACTCTAATAGAGGTTATGATATAATGAGACATGGTGACTATTCAGCCCACCCAATTATATTTGGCTCTACAAACATATCTTTGTACTAGAGTGTAGACTCTCTTCTCATCTTTATATCCTCCGTGGGTCCAGAATTCAGAAATATTTTCAAATATTAATTATACTATGTAAGCATAATAATCTTTAGTAATACTAGAAACCATTTAAAAATACTTGTTTATCATTGAAAGTGCTATTTGGTTTATCAACAAATATTAAATTATTCATTAATAATGCATTAAATCTATAACAGGGTCTCTTTAAGATTTCCCTATGTTCTGAGGGATTTTTTTTATAAAAAGGATTGTGACACAGTCTCTTTGCTTACTTGGTATCAGAAATACCCCTGTTATTCTATCATTTATGATAACTGGAAATTTCATTTTATCATTCTTTTCTGCAAATACACAGGGGAATCTGTACCAGAATACCAGATGGCTTTTCAGACAGAAGTTGGAAACCATCCTACTTTTGAGGATATGCAGGTTCTTGTGTCTAGGGAAAAACAGAGACCCAAATTCCCAGAAGCCTGGAAAGAAAATAGCCTGGTAAGAAAAAACTAAGTTATTAAAAAGAGGACTTATGACTAAATATATTTTAATGTTATTTGAAGCAAAAATAGACTATTAATAATGTTGCCATTTTAGAGTTACCTAATGCCAAAAATCCAACTTACTTGAATTTTATGATACATATTTTCAATGGTTTCAATATTAACAAAAACAGGTCCTCTTCTTTGGTTCAGTTTGTTTTCTTCTGAGTATAAAATACTATTTAGAGTGAATAATTAATATGTCTAAGGTTTGCCAGATTGGGTAACAGCTGTAATGTAACATGTTAATATTTTAAACATTATTGAAATTCTATCTTATTCGCTTGAGAATAATACCAAAAAATGTTAAGTAGTGCAGACTATCACATTCAATGACTATTAAAAATCTAGATCTAAAAGAGTTCATAGTACAGCCTGTGAATTCTGCTTGTTTAAAATGTAGTTTTATCTAACCCTGGCACTTTGGGAGTCTAAAGTAGGAGCTTGATGCCAGGAGATCAAGACAAGCCTGAGCAACGCAGCAAGAGCCTATCATTACAAAAAAAATTTAAAAATTAGCCTGGCATGATGGCATACACCTGTAGTCCCAGTTATTCGGAAGCAAGAGGATTGATTGCTTGAACCCAGGAGTTAGAAGTTGCTGTGATGATACCATTGCACTCTAGCCTGAGTGACAGCAAGAACCTGTCTCTGCTCCCACCAAAAAAAAAAAAAATTATTTCATATAAAAATGAAATCCCTTCAAAGCCTCCTACCATTTGAGTAAATTGTTGCTATAAGCCTGAAAACATCTTCCACACATATCACAGTCATATAATTTTTTAACATAAGTAGCCTCAATTGTCCATGATCATTTCTGATTTTTTTTAACTTAAGAATAATTTTTGTGTCAGTGCCTATAGATGTTATTTATGTCTCTCCACTTGTCAGTATTTTATTGATAGAACTATATAATCATTCATTGAGTATAATTATTGTACCCTTTATTAATGAGAATACGCTATATTTCCTTTTTGAATAAGTTTTTAAAGAATTAAAGTTATACTTCTACACATGGTAAACATAATCAAATTAAATAGGTCATAAAAAAAGAAAATAGAAAAGGAAAAAACTATTATCACTCTCCAGAAGTGACTTCCTTTAGCAATCTTCTGGGTTTTTAAAAATTTCTTCAAAATCTATTCTTATTCTCTAATAAGAATTCTTCCAAAACTGGAAGAGGATAGATAATTTACCCTTTCCAGTTTTGTCATGTTCTATTATTAGATGGCTTATGTTTTATCTAAAAATTGAACTAGGGCTCAGTGCCTGTGGCTCAAGTGGCTCAGGCGCCAGCCACATAGCCACATACACCTGAGCTGGCGGGTTCGAATCCAGCCTGGGCCAGCCAAACAACAGGGACAGTTGCAACCAAAATAATAGCTGGGCATCGTGGCAGGCACCTATAGTTCCAGCTACTTGGGAGGCGGAGGCAGAAGAATCCATGAGCCCAGGAGTTGGAGGTTGCTGTGAGCTGTGATGCCACAGCACTCTACCTGGGGCAACAGCTTGAGGCTCTGTCTCAAAAATAAAATAAAATAAAATAAAAATTGAACTAGAAATTAAAATACAATAAAAGCATAAGAATTTTTCAGAATTATGATTATGTAAGCACTTTGGATTCATAGGAAATAAAACTCCTAGATTAGTTATTAAAAGCCCCCCTGTCACTTTTCAGAGACTATGTCAAAAGTCATCACCCAGTGGATTCTTTGATTTTTTTTTTGTTTTTTGAGACAGAGTCTCACTTTGTTGCCCTCTATGTCACCCTTGTCAGTAGAGTGCTGTGGCGTCATAGCTCACACCAACCTCAAACTCTTGAGCTCAAGTGATACTCTTGCCTCAGCCTCCCAAGTAGCTGGGACTACAAGTGCCTGCCACAATGCCTGGTTATTTTTTTGTTGTAGCTGTCATTGTTGTTTAGCAGGCCAAGGCAGGTTCGAAGCCCTAGTGTATGTGGCTAGCACCCTAACCACTAAGGTATGGGCGCCGAGCCTCTCTTCGATTTCTTGTCATCTTTCTTTTTCTTTCTTCTTCCTATGCTCTGCTCAGAACCAACATTTTTTTAAAAAGCTCATGAGATTCTCTTTCTTCTACATTAGCAGTTCTCAACCAATGGTTTACGACCCACAGGAACTGTATTAAAGGGCTGCGGCATTAGGAAGGTTGAGAACCACTGTTTTAAATCATTGTTTCTTTGTTGAATTCCTCCTTCAGTAATGTGTAATAGTATGTGTTGGGGAGAGTGGTAAACATGAATTCTTTCACATTCAGAAATACTTGTCTTGCTCTCACATTTGAGTAATAATTTGGCTAAGTAAAGATTTCAAGAAAAAATCATTTCCGGCTCGGCGCCTATAGCTCAACCAGCTAAGGCGCCAGCCACGTACACCTAAGGTGGCGGGTTCGAATCCCCAGCCCAGACCCGCCAAAACAACAATGACAGCTGCAACCAAAAAATAGCCGGGCGTTGTGGCGGGTGCCTGTGGTCCCAGCTACTTGGGAGGCGGAGACAGGAGACTCGCTTGAGCCCAGGAGTTGGAGGTTGCTGTGAGCAGTGAAGCCATGGCACTCTACCCAGGGGGATGGCTTGAGGCTCCGTCTCAAAAAAAAAAAAGAAAAGAAAAAATCATTTCCCTCACAACTTTGAAACTAGCACTCCCTTGATCTCAAGCCTCCAGTCTCCAGTCTGGCAGTAGTCTCCAATCTAATGAGAATTTAGATCCCAACCAGAATCATTCCATTCCTTTTTGTCTTGTTATATTTTTGTTTCATCCTCTTGATGTTTTTATCAGCTTTTAAGAGTTTTACATTATCATTGGAATTGTGAAGTTTCACTTAGATGTACGTAGGCATGGATCTTTCCACACATTTTGCTTGGCACTGGATAGCTTTTCAGTTTGAAAATTCAAAACTTTCTTCAGTTCAAAGGAATTTTCTCATATTATTTCTTAAATGATTTCTTTCCTGGAGCCTAAGTGTTTAGGTTGCAGTATACTCCAGCTCAGGCAACAAAGTGAGACCCTATCACAAGACAAAGACAAAAGAAAGAAATTGACAGTATGGACAGTCAGTATACCTTTTCCAGGATCTAGTGCCAAACGTAAAATAAGACAAAAATGATGTTATTCTAGAGGTGACATCTAGAAGAATGAGTGGAGGTGATTTCTGCCAGCAATTTACCAGAGAAGTATTTCACATGTATCAGAATTATTCGTGCTATAAACAGTGGAAATTTGAACTTCTGAAGTAGACACCAGCAGATTATGTGATATACTGCAGCTGAAAGAGAGATCATTAGTAGTAAACCACAAACCATTAAAGTAGGAAAGAAGATTAATATAAAACAGACAGAAATGAAAACCAGGAAACAGTGTAGACTGCATCATGCAGCTGCTGGGGGGTAATAGTGTCTATGAGAATTTGAAGTATGAAGCTGGGATTTACCAAGTTCATCAAATCCCCAAGATGGTCCTGTCGTCATAGAAACAAGTCAGTTATTGTCCTTTCTCAACCAGATGAGGTAAATGTGAAATTAGACTGCAAGGATTTGCAAATAGATAACATTTCAAGCCTTTAAAAGAGCAGGAGGGCAGCATATTAATACAATAGATAGCTCTGTCAGACTTGTCCATATTCTGACAGGGCTAGTAGTAGAATGCCAATAAGAATGATCACAAATAGGCTCGGCGCCTGTGGCTCAAGCGGCTAAGGCGCCAGCCACATACACCTAAGGTGGCGGGTTCAAATCCCCAGCC